ATAATACAAACAACCTATGGTTTACAAACTTCCGGGGCATTCCTCGATGGGCAAGCGTATCAGGGATTAAAGTTCCGGTCGATCAAGTCAAATGTGCCTTGAAATTCCAGGAGTACTGAAATTGTGGGTCATTTTCACGTATGGCGTTGTTCTAGCTCTTGATGGAGTGTGAAGATTTGGTCAACGCAACCTCTACCAGGCCGGAATCCTGCTTGCTGCTCTCGAGCCAGTGTTTCACGGGTCACCATAAGGCTACGAAGCACAATTGACGCCAACAGTCTCGTTACGACCAGGGTCAAAACGGATCCTCCCTGTGGTCACTGCACTCACTATGAACCCTTTTTTACAAAATGGGCACTGTCATTGACTCTCTCCGGTTGTCTGAGATATTTTCTTTCCAAAATGCAAGCAAAAAGACCAGACAAGCGCTTACTGAGGATGTCACCCCCATCTTTGAACAACCCGGGTGGGAGATCATCCGGATCAGAAGCTCGATGGCGCTTGAGGAAACACATGTAGTGGTAAACTTCTAAGGCCGTAGGTGGTTCCGCGTTCACCGTCCAGGTTTCTACATCAACTACGGACTCCATGTGAGTGGCAGCTGGTGGCCACGACAGTTGTTTCCCAAAGCATTCAGCCCAATGTTTGAGGCGTTCTTCTTTATTCAAGCTGGTCACTCCTTTCCCATCCTTGATGGTTTCACTGAAATAATCCCCGGATTTCTGGGCGTCTTCCATTTCCTTGGCCTCCTATGTCCACCACAACTCAAGGTCGGCCTTCACGCTCACCTTCGCTCGGCATCAGATAATTCGTCGCATCAAGTTACGCTCGGGGACCGCTAGGATAAATCTTTTAGATTTAAGGAGTGCTACGTTCGGTCTGATATCCAGTGCCTGTGTGCGCCTTCTGCTGCCGTGCCACAGGTGAAATTCCAAGTATTATACAAAAAGGTGGCAATCTCATCCCAGTATGAGTTCATGTCTGATGGTAGAGCATCTAAAAGAGACTCTAGAAGGCAATTCTGATAAATTCGCTTATGATCCAGACCTGACAGTTTCTTAGTTTCCAAACGATTTGTCCGCACCTTACGCGGTCCTGGAAAACGTAAGGAGAAGCGACTCCGGACGACTGCGTAGTTGGGATTCACAGATGTGTTTCAAAACGACCGACAGTTACTGATCCGCCCCATCCGTAACTTATGGCAACGTGATCCGTTTGAGTTTGTGGCCGGTATGCCGTTGGAGAATACCATGTGGCCAGACGACTCTGGATATCTCGGAATTTCGAACTGCAAAAGAAGCCTCTGATCAGCATACAGCTGTAAAAATCGTTTCCCATCATCCGTACGTACCGAGTGCAGTCCATGACGACCTCCTAAGTGAGTCTCAGATGCGCTGATCTTAACCGACTGTACGTTCAGATCTACGACAACAACAACGATATCTGAGCAGCAGGGCATTCAAGGCGTCATAAAACTTGTCTTTGATGGTGTCAGAGATAGAGTCAGTTCGCTTCAGCAGACACGATAAACAAACATCGATCAACTTTCCCATTGTGAGACTCCTTCACAGACGTTACCATGTGAATCGCGCAGAGGTAACTATCAGCGGTTATCCAGTCAAGCAAAATCCTTTCGCCGTGCGAATTAGGACGACACCAACTCCTGTATATCCTGCAGCAGCAGCCTCTGAATCGCCAGAGGTGCGAAGCCGGAAGCGAGTGGAGAGTGATTGGGTGGCTAGCCCAATCAGTGCTTGCATCGTGAATTCTTGTTCCTGGGACACAGCACACAACAATGTCAAGCGAGTTCAGTATGGGAGCAAGACCAGATTGTTGTCCTGCTTGCTTTAGAGTGCGTAGATTGAAAGCTGCCAGATGGACTGGACGTTGGGACTTGAATACTCATTCCGAAATGCATGAAAATGTTGGCGCCCGGTGACGCCCAGATGTTACCTGCAAAACCGATGCAAGACGAATGGAGTCATCAGTTCTAAGTGCTGGGCCTAAAAGAAGAGAGTTATGAATGGGGCGGAGAGGGGAGGAAGAAAAACCATGTGGAAGAGAAAAAAGGAAGACGTCAGCAGCAACCTGTTTTCGTTCATCCGCCCTGCTGTATGCAGCAAGTAAGGCAATCCGGCTGGTGTAGGATGACTTGATTTGTATGCGTGCAATTCACAGGTGTACGTGGGGTGGAATGTCGCCATGGAGTACGATTAGGGTACTCAATCAAAGCCCTCAGCTCAAAAGCCTGGTTGCAAAGCAGCGGTGTTTGGTGGGAAAGGCAAGGAAATTTGAATTTTACGGAACTCATCACCATAAATGTTCCATTCTTCAACCTGGACGATCAGTAGACTGTGATCCTCAGACTTCTAACCGTTGACCATGCTGGTATGAGAGACCAATCGAGTGTCGTTTGGATGCTTCACAGTATAATTAAGTAGGTCGTGGAGATACATGATACATCACACCACGGCAAGCTTGTTGGGGGTGGAGAACGTACACACCACATTCTCTACGGAAAAATGTTACATCCTATCTAGGCACTAATCGTATTATGGGTCTTACGTACATAGCTGCGTACCGCGTTGTGCGTTGTTGGCAGATGTAACTTGACTCCAGTTTTCGGTGCGAAACCATCGTCGAAACCATCGACGTCCTTCCACCACCAATCGACGCGAAATTAGGATTCTGGATGCCTTTTAACCTTTGTGAGGGTCAGGAACACTGACGAACAGCTACGAAAATATGGAAAACATGCCACATATTAACACTAAATATTCTGTTCCACCTACTAAGGATTTGGTGAGAATTGCAGATGTCTGACAGGGATCAGCATACAGCGTTGCTTACTTTTAGTCATGAACGGGCCAATGTTATTTCTAGGCCATGTCTGGATCCTATGAAAGCCGCCGAAAAATCCGAACGAATTTCCTGTTTGGTCGCTCCTTGTGCACTCCATGTCTGTGTGAAATAATGTGGAACACGTCTGGTGATTCACCAACCACGGCATCATGGGCGCTTGTTATGCCGAAGCTAAGTACATCACACTCTGGAATATTATCAAGTAAGAGTAATATCTTCTAGGACGAACACAATGTAACAAGGTTGATCACAGAGTACTTTCTCTTTCGTGAATGTCGTCCCGTTTGTAGAGTTTGCATCCAAATTGACAGGACTCCAGCGGGGACGAGGACATATTACGCCAGCCGACATAGTTTGTCACCGTCTTAGTATGAACGAAAGTCCAAAGAAGTACTTTCGCGCCATTTAAGCGCTCTTGGTGCACGCACGATCACATTTGGAAGCAAACAAGCGTGATCGTCGGTATTTCTATTGTCAGGTGGGTAAAGATCAATTGCCGTTCTTTGATGTATGCGGTTCAGCGCGACAGCCACCTTGTTTTGGACGGTTTCAACGTGCAAATTTCGCATGGGCTGCGGAAATGTGGCTGATGGGTGAACGCGAGCAACCGTCGATTAGACGAGAAGCTGGAAAAAGCGAGTGCCAGAAGCGAGGTATATAAAATTTCCGCAAATGAAAATTCTGGAAAATTACCTCTCTCTGTGATTCTTCCCATAACCAACCGTTACTATGTTGTAGAGGGTAAATCGCAAGTCTATTTTCAACTCATTGCCGAGTGTTTGAGTGTTTCAGTCATTGAGGTTTCGGTCAATCTGAATAAGGATGACGCCACAAGAAACGTGATTGCAACAGCACAGCAGACCAGAAATTTTGGGAATAAAGTAGGCGCCAAAATCTACCAGTTAGAATCAGTTCAAACAAATTTCGAAAACTCTCGAGAAATTATTAGGCCCTCTTGGTTGAAGCAGTTTTGTTACATAGCCCTTCTGAACAATACGGTCGGGGATCGACCACTTAAACGGTTCCCATTTTACTCCATTTGAGTGACACCTACACTTCTCAGACACAAAGTCACGCAATTTCATAGCCCATAATACGTCAACTTCCGAATACCTTCCCAAGTTCAGGAGATTTGATTCCAATTTAATACATTTCAATCACGCTTCACATGGTGAACTACTTCCGTTTCCTGCACATCTAGTCTTGTGCCGCATTTTTTCACCTATGGGCCCGAGGTTCACCTCCGACCGAAGCACACCATCATAGAATCCACCATAGAATCCGTCGAAACTCTTGGGGCGCAGATTTATAAATCGAGGAATGCATGCTGTCAGTACTACACCAGCCGAAATAGTGGGAGATCACGCCACCAGTTTGCAAACAGGGCACCGATTGCATTGTAGACAAACACAACAATTGAAATGATAATTGAATGATTCTCTCCCTAGAAAATCTAGCTTTTCCCTTTTGAATAGGATATAATCGTTGACAGCGCATTATGCTCACCCAGCGTGTCAGATGTGCTAGCCTATTCGCCAACATTGTTACGCATTTTGACAGATCGTATATGTCGAAAGATTTCGTCTGATTCGTGAAACCATACTTGATTCGCCGAATGTAAGTCACACAGGTTCTCACATCCATATGTTGAACTGCGTGTGATTTGACGAACCCCAGCTGAATCTCTCGTTTATGATGATTTTAAGCATATGTTTTGATTAAAAAAGTTGTAGACTTTCAGGTTTTTCAATGCTGAACAACACTGTGCGCCTTCTTTTTGCACGCGACAGGTAGATAGATCCAGTTTTCGAAAAATTGACGCATTGTCAAATGTCTTTCTGGATATTAGTGTACCAAGTGTGAACGGATTTCATCTAATGTTTGTGATTTCAACGTGCAACACCTCAGCGGTAGGTTCCCATTTCGTACCCAAACATCGGCTCAATCTGAATATTAGTTTCATGGTTCCACGACCTTTACACCAGTAACGTCAAACAGTCGGATATTTAGAAGTGAACCGAACATCAAATGATGGGTGAGCATCCAATGGGTGTTCGTTCATTCTGGGACAGCGCTTTGTATTGGTTAGCCGTGTGACTCCGATAATGAGTGACGCTGGTATTGGTTAATTTTACCAGTATGTAACTGCACTGTTTCGTGTTCCTCCATATGTTATACATGCCTAGAAGGACCAATGGTCCTATGGATATACTTCATTATGGAAACAGTCCTGAGTATTTGTTCCGGTTGTCCGCCGACCTACGAACAAATATCCCCAGATCTGTGCGTCATAAATTTAGGACCTGCATCCTCCTTTTGCGAAGCTTCTGCGATGTGTGCAAATTATGGGGCTGAGCGCGGTGAACTGGCGTTTCTAGTCGGGCGAAACGTTCGTCGGCTTATACCTTCATTAAATCCTGCTACTAATCTTTGGCTCGGGATGAATGGCTTTCTGATACTTCCGAATAGGACTGCCGTCGCATGGCGCGACACCGACCCTCGGACACCACGATTCACGACGGTGGGAGAAGAAATTGTGTGGTTTGCTGACGAACCGGGTGGTGCAGAGTCAGTAATTGTGTTTCAGTATAGCTCGAAGGCGATGCATGATTGTTACCCTACATGCCTGTGGCCAGGAGAGCGATTCTTTGCCTACTGTGAATACGGGGGTTCGCTACCGACGATGGATCGGCCGCAGGAATATCGCTCGGATTTTCCTGTGCCGATAGACAACTTCATCCAGACTGATATGCAATTTTTCGGGTGCTATCGGGAAGTAGATGAACCTTCAATTATAGCATGCACTCTCAAGTAAGTATCATATTTATTCATTTCAATACTCGCCCCTTATAATTTGGTGGAGCTTTCCACGAGGCCAATGGTTACTAGCTTATGTGCGTGTTTTAACTGAAAATAGTTCCCGTGCAAACCAGCTCCCATTTCCTGAGAATGTTGATAATCTCACGTTAATCTTATCGGTGATTGCATTTTAACCCATCCCTTATTCCTCGCGCCTAGTACTTCGTTTATTTCCGCTTGTAGGTGTACTTTGAATGTGGCGTGCCGATCAATTTACTATCATAAGGAAAGCCACCGTTGCGTATCCATGATGTATGCCGATTCTCTGCTACCGTCAGTGTTCACTTCAAGTCCAAATGGTTGGAAGCGACTAGCTAAGACATCATATGCGGGGACGGTCGGTTCACTTTAACACTGCATTCCCAAGGACAATCAACAATTTGCATGGCTACTCGACCGGTTGCCAGTAGACTGTTGGGCCATCTTGTGTTTGAAATTTTCAGCAAGTTTGTAGAAGCAATGGGTTTGTCGATGATCTTCTGCTGCTCGTGACTGTGATGTCCAACATCCATTCATTTTCCTTGTTTCACTTAACCATTATGGTATTTAGTTTATCCCGCTATATGTTATGTCTTCATAAACATGCTAATGCTATAACGTTCGTTGTATTCATGAGCCATTATGGATGGGTGAACTTTGTTTCCGACTTGACTTCCGATACCCTGGTCGTTCTGTATTAACAAATTCTTGATTTGTGCTCAACAGCATATGTATTTCGACCATGGAAACTCAAAGTGTGGTCAGTCACATGTCTCATTTGGTTTCGATTATAGAGATGCCGTTTTGGGTCAAAATATACTACACAGTAGGCTCACCTGAAAATCATCCGCGAACTGAATGTGCACCTCATGATGGCTAGTATCTCAAAGTTGTGGGGATTCCCGAATCGGACGGATGAGCAAGAACCAATTGAGATACCTTCAAGCAAACCTGGAATTTAGAGTAAATAAGAAGGAATATCTGGAATTCTACGTGATCCACACACGATCTTTGTCTAAATATTGTAACTCCTTAGTTGATGTCTTGCTGACGAAAGACTTCGCAACAAAGGGCTTTCACCGGTAGACCTGTGGTCCATAAAATGCTTGGTGTAATTGATAGCGACTTGTATCGAAAGGAGTTTTAAAACAAATTTCACTGATATGAATTCTAGACAGGTGACAGGCAGAGAACGTTTGGAGCGAGTGATGAGTGCGCGAATACATGAAATTGTTGATTCGGGTAGTGAAATCAGCCCTTAATAAAGTGTCGCAAACCAAAGATCGTAACACCAAAGATCGTAACCGGAATTTGCCAAAAATCTGATTCTGTTATTTGGAATCTGCGTCGTAAGGACAGACGCCGTATACTATTTTTAGCCCATTTTCTAGGAAAACTCACTAGACTCACTGAACCGGCAGAAAACCAATGCGGAATCGGGCATCGATTATTCGTCACAATCTGAAGATTTTATTGAGGTCGAATTTGTGGTGAGAAGACAGATTTCGATGGGTGATGTTGCGAAATGTGCATGGTCCGGATGTGCTGTTTGGCTATTCGCCTGCTCACCGAGTTTGACAGCTCACTGAGGACGTCACCTAGACTGGTGACGAATCGGGTGCAGTCCAACTGACAAGCTCGGCAGCCAGCTGAACAACCATAGATTTCAGGTATGGAAACAATTGACTGTCTTTTTGCAGACGACTATGTGCACCACTTCTGTTTGTAGAAAAGAACAGAGGACAACGACGACCAACAATCCTTCAGTTTGATGATTGTGTTTTGTACAGGGCCAGTAGAGGGGAATGAACTGGTTCGACCGAGGGAACAGTCAGTTGCGCATGAACACAGTAGGGTTGTTTTGTTTCCTGAAAGAGCATGAAGATGTAGATTCGCTGATCATCTACTTCTATCTTTCAACCCTAAATTGTATTATCTACCACCCGATCTCGTAACACCATCGCGGTTTCTCATAGTCTCGTTTCGTGCCACTTCTAATTTCGAGGAGGTTGATAATCCTGTAAAATTGTCATCATGATGAGGTTTACTGAACTTCAAACTGTTCATATTGACGTGATTGCGGACTGGATTTCATAGTCTCCCAATTCAGCGGACACACCAATCGTTTTTTCCACTGTTCAGAAACGCAGGCTTCTTCGTCCTGACCTGGTTGATAATGTATAATATTAGGTGAGGGAGCATTTGGATGGAAATATTTCTGGAATTAGCGAAGAGAAAAACGTCGCCGAATGATCATACGTCGATGTCCACTACACGACTTTTCGGCTTTTATGATTGTCTGTCTGTCCCTGCCGAATCTACCATTCCCAGTGTTTATTACTGTGTGCAGTTTGTCTCGCTTCGAAAATGGATTCGATCAACACTCAACATGAAAATGGAATCTCCAAGTGGTCTAACAATCATGTCTTAACCAGATAGAACAGCACTTGAAGAAAAAATATCCTCATTAAAACTTTCACTGACAGTGTGAACTACGCGGCAAGGTGATAACTTATTGGGTGTTCGATTCGACATGTTTCCGATGTCGTCTGAGAGAGCACAATGTGGTTGTGTTCCTCGACAAACTTATCACGCGATGAGTTGGTGGAAATGGTCATTGTGAATGTCCAACAAGAGTCTACTCGGTTCGTTTGGTGAACACGGATTTGGTTAATATGATCCCTTATGATATAGGAGAGAAATTTCATAAGACTGAATACACTGAAGAGTGGCAAGCGAATCACCGATGTGGAGCGGACTGACTGTCTGGTTAGCTGGCTGTAAGACATGGGTTTATCGGAGGCAACTACGAAACCAAGCGACCGTTGCCGTCCTTAGCAGACCCGATGGATGCAGAACTTAGCTTTTTACAATTGTTCATAATGTCACGAAAGATGGGTATCCAAACGAACAGAGTATTGGCAGCTCATTTTGTAATAATGAACGTTGGCTTTTGTGCTCGGCAATTTTTGCGCAAGCGCCAGCATCAGTAGATGTGACAACGTGCACGAAGATGCGTGGATGTCGCGCGTGTTTGGACTGATGTGGGGACGCAATCAGTTGCATCGCATTCTCCCAACCGACTGCACGGACGACATCAGATATGGTACTTCACAGTCTAATGGGGAATTTCCTACATGAATGAAGCAACGTGACGCAGCTATCCGAAGACACCACCCGCTAACTCTCAGCCCCATACACGATGATCAGGAAGGACCCAATTTTCATCTAGAAAACGTGGAGATGTTAGCACTAGAAATTGCCCGTCATGAAAGGGGACTCGTAGGTGCATAGCCCTCCGGGAAATATTCAGCCAAGCGGCCTATCGAAACCAATTTTGTCTACGCGAGCGACCATCAACTCATTGAGAACGCTTAGTCGTCCCCGGTCATCGGAATAATGTACCAACTGCCGAGAAATGGGACTCGACTTGGAGGTGAACGATAAATGATCACGGTAGTAGGATTGGAGGGGTAAAGTGTCAAGTTTATCCGGATACCCACCTGACCTGTCTGAAAACAAGTCAAACAACAAGCCAGCCAGAATGCCCACCCGAGCGACCAATGGTCGGTTGAGGTCGACTTGGGTGAATAGACCACATAGGAATTTATTCGCGCGCCACACGCACGCAGTTCCAAACACAACGCACCGCTATTCCCAACGCATTGATGATGTCACCTCGGCTGGTGATGAAAAATTCACAGCAAATTCATCTGGCCCGGCGGACAAACCAACGACCTAGAATGTATTTGTAGATGGTCTTCACTTGAATAATAACAGAAAGTGGTAGAAAGTTGAAGGAAACCATCCAGGAGTGCATTACTTTTGTTAAAATCCACTGTCTCAGAGGGTTTCTTGTGTTGTCACACTGAATATTAGTCGAAACTAGGCTTTTAAGTAATTTTCTAGCGGACCGAACATGGGAATGGTTTCAGACTTAGTTCTGGACAAAAATATCAATTCCGAGATGATTAATTCATTGGGTAGCGCCACACATCTCGTCGTCAACGACAGCGGTTTAAGGGAGGCGACCCAATTTTATCCAAATATGACAATTCAACTGCATAGTTAGATTATGCTCATCTATATGTGCATAACGGCCCAAACTCTCAATTCATCATGGAACAACTGAACAAACCAGCTTAAATATATCATGTAACATGCTCCTGTTGAACACCTGGTTGCGTTCAATTGGAACTGACTTGCAGGGCATCCCAGCATGTAACACAGAAGTCAGAAAAAGAGGCAATCTATGACACCTAAGCAGATGACCGGCAAATGAGTGATTACTAGGTATTTGTAAACAGTTTTGAAGACCGACCGTGTGGCGAAATGCATGTACTGTTTTAATGAATGAAGTGGGGACGGGACTCTCACAAATATGTACCCACCAGATCCATTGTGCGTGTGTATGCTTTGAAGATCTCTGCTTCCCACCTGGGTCTGAAGTTTACCATTATAAGTCACATTGTAGTTTCAGTCAATGGGACCACCCAGGACAGGTGAGTCCTTCAGAATACGACAGATTTTGCTTAATTCATGGCTTGTTCGTGTCAGTCACTGCACATGAAACTGGTTCAATACTTCCTTGCGAAACTGTCAACCAAGAACGCAGTATTCTGGTGCTGAGGAACCGTCCCCAACCACCATGTCACAATTGACTGAAAGAAAGAACCACCCACACTTACTCAAACTCAGGTAGGTAGCTGTTTTGGCAAAAATGCAGCGCCACGCTGACTCATTCCTATGACCGAGTCGACAGTGAACGAAATTTAACTCCGTTGCCTGAGCACATCACAAACGCGAGATTCATCTGGGTTCCAGGTGAATCTGTTGCAAAACCAAATTTGTTTGCAAATGAGTGTATTTCGCGGAATTTAACTCGTTTTTGGCAGCCCACAAGTGAAGACAGAAGCAACCGAATCCAGAACAAAGTAGTTTCCGTTTAGCAGTCTCAGTCAGTTTACTCGGTACTGCGTATGAAAAGCTTTGGCAACTTACGGTGAGTATGTGGATGATGTTACGACCCGGTGTTTTTTGTCCTCGTTTCACATTGCTCGTGCAATCTCTGTTGGGGTTTTACAAATGCATGCATTCTTTATATTAGTGTGACCCTCACTGTCCCAGTCGACCTGAGATTGGAAGTGCGAGCTTGCCAATCAAAAATAGGAACCAGAACCTGATGAATTGAATAGGAGCCCGCGTCTACGACCGCTTACTAACCACTGTCCTGTTTTCCATCCTTCAGTGCGTTGTGGAATGCGGAATCAATCCATTGTCAAAAGCAAAGTGGCGAGAGGGAAATTTGCCAACAATGCGACGGGGTGTGATCACTTGGGCAATCTCGTCCATTCTGTAGTTACGGGGCGAATTTCAAGGTGATTTGGATTTGGCTATGTTGACTCGTTCCTCCATTCTTCATGGTTAACCTTCTCCTCGTTCTATGGGTAACGCATCTGGTTTTGAAAATGACTCACAATATTGTGTTGACACACGATTCCGCAAGCTCGTCCAATCTCTATGGGATATTTGCGTAAACTAAGCACCTCTTAATGAGTTGGTTAGTTTACTTGCTCCAATGTTTCAGCGAAGGATACAGACGAAGCTTTGTTCATTTTAGTTTGCGTACAAAACACGATAGTTTTCGATGGTACAGAAAAGTTTGCCATAGCATCAGACAGCAAACGTGGCAGGCAACGGAAATGACACTGAGCATATGGATACATCTTGCATTTGGAGACCGTTCTGCAGGACGTCACCAGTCAATACGAGGAAGCTACTCATATGGTTGTTGATAACATTTCGACCGTCAGAGATCGGTTTTACCCTACTTTGCTCTTATCACGTAGGCGCGGTCAACCTAATGCTCACGAAATTCGACAAATGCGGTCATTCAGTCGGGATTCAATTTACTCTGCCATTACGGCCAAACTGGTTTACTGATGGGTGTATTTGTTGGATTTCGTACGACCTAAGTTGAATTAGAACATTGGATTGACGGAAACTCGTGGATTGAGCCTACCTGATGCGCCTGAAGAGGAGTTAAATTGGACAGGGTTTGCCGGACAATTTTCAGCAAACTCGGTAAAAAATTTTGGATGAAAATATCCTGTGACATGTCCAATATCATGGAAAACGAACCATGCAGTGGCCTTTGTTTAGCACGTTCAGTTGGAGAATTTCGTAAACGATAAATTTAGTTGGGACTTAGCTCGGTCAATCGTTAGAACCAAATTAGTGTATAGACAAGAATATTTGTCCATGGATTCGGCTGGATTTATGCCCACCAGTCAAGATACTACTCACTTTTCCCCTCCCACACTGCTGACTTCTACTGGATAACAGTGTGTCTAATCCGTTTAGATTCGTGAATCAATCTGGAAATTTACTAATTTTCGTATATAACATGATAATTGAGTTGACACGATTCACCGCGCCTTGCAAGTGTGCCTGAAAATTTAAATCACTCCGAGACGGGCTAACTCAGATGACCACTGGCGTGTGTCCCTGTAAACTCTTCTACCAGGTGGGATAACTAGTAGACCAAATGAGAAATTACCCCCTGAATGACGAAGCAACCAAAGCTCACGCTCGATGTTTGGAACTTCGATGGCGCTCGATTTCGTCACATTGTCGGGACGAATACACTCATTTGCAAATTGGTTTTCACAGGAAACTCAGGTGAAGCGCTCATTTATGATGTTCCTCAACTGAGTATGCTGCAAAAGGGCCGTTTCTTGTTTTATTTAGTACGATATCCGGAATATCGCAGTACATTTCCATAAAGAGTACCACTCACAAGGTTTCTGTCGAAGTGTTATCAGCAACCTTGTGAATAGTTTCATTTCCGAAAATGATGAGACCACTTTGGACATCGGTTGACTGCTAGGTTTAGGTTTATTCACATGACCATTAAGTCTCTTGCGATATTTGCCAGGTACTGAAATTGAAATCCAACTGGCTATGGAAACATCGGTTAGATCAGGAACACTCTGATTTATCAGTGATCCACCACATAGGATTAGGAGAATCAGACCTGATATTATTAATTTTTACTTCGATAATCTGTTCAAATTATAGCAGCTTGGGTGAGCCTATTGGTTTTTAAGCACATGGCCGTTGGCTTTTCACTGAGCTTGGCAAGTGACCTGCGAGCGTCTGGTCACCACATGGGGAGATATCATCAGTGCGCATTTGGATGCGTAGCTCTTCTTGGTCTACGTCAATTTGTATGGCATTTGATGATTATCTCTTTACTCTTATCGTAACTGATGCAGACGGCATTTATGTGAATTTACTGGTCCGTTTGTGATGTTTGTTGCGTTGTGGTCAGCGCTCCTTGGATTCGACTGCTTATCCCAATGTCTTTTATGTTTATTGGTTTATTCCTTTGCTCTGATTGACCCGTTTTCAATTTGAATTGCACTGTGGTCTGATCAACAGTTAGTAGGTTTTCAATTTTGCTATATCGGACAGAGCCAGGGGAACACTGACCCATCTGCATAGCTGGAACATTTTGGTCAGATGTGATCCACCATTCTACAAGTTGATGATTTATTCAGTCATTCGGAAGCCCTCTGGTAAAGACGAGAGGAGTTAACTGGCGGACTTTCCGGCATCTAATGTCGAGTAGAGCGCATATTTTATCGGAAACTGTCCTCATTCAGTGAAAGCCCAAATACCAATGGCAACGTCGACTACTTTGCTATGCCATGTGACGTTCGGAATACTCACCACATAAGTGTTGAACGCGTCATTGTATGATGTCTTTGACCCAATCTCAGCATCTTACACATTCGCAAGCTGATAGCTATTCCCATGAAACTCCTAATCCACTTTCGTCTACCGTGTACTAATAAAGCAAATCGGAAGCATGTAGGGATTTTTGCCGAACATTCCAGATATTTTCAATGGTTTTGTAAAATTTACATTTCAATATGGGCAATTCTAGGATGTGCCGATTTCACACTATCGCAATGACATAAGCGAGGCCTGCTCACATATCCTAGCACATGAGGTAGATAGCTTAAAACCTGTAGAAACCTTCTTCTATCAGCAGTTTAGTGGCCGTTTATGTAACGCTTTGGAGCGAACCATTACATTGAATGTAGTAGAAGCCTTAAAATGCACTATCTGGTAAACAAAAGTCCGTCAGTCAAGAGCATGGAATGCAGTTGAGACACTCGACAACTGACAATGTCACGTCCTTCATTCGGCTCATTAGATCAAAATCATATGTGCAGATGTTTCTCATGGGTCGCACGTGTTCTATGGGGGGATGATCCGCAACTTCTGTGTGAAGCATCAGGTTGGTAATGTGACGTCTCGCACTGCTTACAGATAGGTCTTACGTGGGGCCGATGAAACCGAACGAAAGTTTAGAATTTCACCACTTGCATTGTTACACTGTCTTGACGAGTCTGCTAGACGTGACCCACCGTTTCACATTTGCAAAATTAATTCCAATCGGTTGCGTAGTTTGTGTGGCACAACCACCAACCCACCGCTACGCTCCTCAATAACGCACTGATGATGTCACCTCGACTGGTGATGAAACGTTTGCAATCAAACTGTCCAGCTCAGCGAACAAGCCAACGATCAGTCTGTGCTATGTTTGGAAGTCTTCAACGTTATGCAGTGTGATTCCTAACTACGAACAACAGTGACGAAACCATCCTGAGGCAGACTGATTGGCTATATTACTTCATAGGTGTCCAGTGTCTTGATCAACCAGGCGGTGAGACTGACGGAAACCGGGGGACAAGCCTACTTCGTACACGCCAGAAGGGTTGCTGCATGTTAGTTGTGTAGTCCGCCAGTGTGATTGGATGAAGTTCCCCAAGTTTGATCCATTTTTTCTCGCCATATACAGAATGACGACCCACAG